GCATTTTAAGGCATGTTAGAGAAACTTGGAGATCCTTTATGGTTCATATATTTTATTAAAAAAAACTAGCTGTTCCCGTGCAGCTTCATCCACATACAATTATAAAAAACTTCACTTTAATTTTTACATGTGTCAAATTCTCAATTGTTAACAAATTAACCTTGCTTCCTTAATGTTGGCAGCTTGCTTATGATCCCTTTCCCACTTGATGGTTTTTTTGCCAATTTATTTACCCCTTAAGTTGATTAGCGTAAAAATAAGTAGCCTAAAACTTGTCGTAAGTGTAGGGTTTTTTATTAAAGATAGGATTATTCAAAAATAAGCTGTGATTCCTGACATCCTACGTCACAAAGTAGTGTATGCTTTATTACATTAGTATAGTTTCTACGAAGATTGGATACTATAATGTTACCTTTTGTTTTCGTGCAATGCAATGCAATAAAATCATCACGTTAGTACGTTAGTACGCACAAACAATACGGATCTAAATGTTGATGAAAATTTAAGGATCAATTTAGTTTCAATTTAAACGTGAAATATCACGACTGCCATAAAACTAAGACGAATTGGTAGCAAATGACAAATGACGATTGCGTCTTTAAATCATGTTGTTAAAATTTTATTGTTTAAACGAGCTGTCGCCCGCAAACTTCGTTACCGCGGATTTTTTTTAAAAGTCACATCACATTCCTGCATTTCCTCCTACCAGTTATATCTCAGTCAAAGTTCCATCAAAATCGGACCACACGTTACGTCATTTTGACAACGCGGAATAAAAAAAAATGCCCCGTCGATGTCTGCTACCCTCCAGTGAAAGCCCGTCGAAATCGGCTCAGCAGTTTTAGAGATTTCCCGGAATAAACGCGGCTTGCGGACAGACAGACAGACAAAAAAAAATAATTAGGAATTTACTTTGACAGTACAAACAGACACTCCAATTTTACGCCAGCTACAAAGCAGCTTCTCTGTAGTGTGTGTACTCAAATTGTATGGACCATAAGCAGCAAAACAGAGGATCAACAGCGTACAGAATATAAGATTCTATCTACATACAATTTTACTTAGAAATCCCATATAACGCTCTGTAGAGGTCTTTGCCACTGGCCGATTGTAATTTAGATTAAGTCCTTGACCTTGCGATGAGATCCGGGTCCATTGTACACGGACCCCTGACCCGATCGTAATTAGGGACGAAAAAAGATGAACAAAAACCAGTTGACGTTATGTAAATTAATTTGTACATCCAATGAGATTTTTTTCTACTCAACCTTAAAGATAGGCGCGTTTATTGAATCGATTACACCTAATAAGGTCTGTGCTATTTGCTCGGGTGGCATCTTGTACGTATTTTTTAATTAAACTTGAATTCTGTTACGTTTTTTATTTGCTACATGTTGGATACGAAGGTTAGCTGGCTAAATATATCTATTTATTGTATTTTAAGAAAATACAATACTTATCATACTAATACTAGCTGTTCCCGCGCGGCTTCATCCGCATGAAATTGTGACAATTTTATTTTATTGTTTACATTTGTCAAATTATGAATAGCAAATGTCATAATGACATAACATGACAAACCTTGACAATCTTGCTTCCTTGATGTTGGCAGCAATTTATGGTCTCTTTCCCACATTAGGGTTTTTATCCAAAATATATACCCCCCAAGTTTAATGGCGTGAAAATATATAGCCATAATGCGTGACGTAAGTGTAGGGCTTTTTATTAAATAAAGAATTTTTCACAAATCTGCTGTAATTGCTGACATCTTAGGCAACAAAGAAGTGTGAGTTTACGCTTTATTATAATAGTATAGATTAAAGTTTGAATGAATAGATGATTGTCGAAATGACATTAGGCACAAATGGTGCACACAATCTGGAAGTACACCACGGCTTCTAAAAATTGTTTTTTTTTTTAAATTCTACACGGGCGTAGTCGCGGGATAAAGCTAGTATTGACATAAAGTGTTACATTACATTTAACGATTAAAATATATTGAACGTCATTACTAAAATAATAAACACATTAGGCATCCTTACAACGCTTGAATTATTTTTTCTATTGATCCAGCTTAAATAATGATTAAAAAGTGTTCGGTTTGACTCTATAATTAGATCAAACCGTACCATTTCTAGGAAAATTGAATATAAAAGTATTAATTTTAGTTTAACGCCATCTATCCTGTCATTATAGAACTAATTTTAATATACAAATTGGCTTAAGGGCATAAAAATTTCATAAAATTTATAACAGATGGCGCTGTTATAAACGATGATTAACAATAAACAAAACAAAAAGTGGGATTAATATTTCTGAATATTGTCAACGTTCTACAACTTTCAAATTTGCTTTAGAAATAGGAGGTGGCATTTTTAAATAATTATCCATTGGTTCGAAGACGTTTTCACAAGTTGTGTATATAACATTACACAGTTTACCATCAGCACCAGTATAAGAATATGAAACTGCCACTTTTACTTCATTGTTGCAGAACAACAGGCAACGTACTTTAATGAGCCGAGAGTTTCAGAGAGTTCTACGGAGATCCTGCACCCTCTCTTATTGCACTAGACGCTGGCTCGAGAGTGGTTTTAGTGTGTCAAACCCCACATAACAATGTGTTCCCCCAGAAAAAGGTATCTTTTGGAGATTTTCCCCGACACCCAAAAAAATATGCCAATTTTAATTTGTTTTAATAGTCCTCTCACTCGTGTGGACGTGATGGACACACGCAGCGTGACAAAACCCTAATAGTTGCTGTCAAGCGCCCAATATATTATTAAGAGCATTTTTGTTATTTCATCACGCTTATTAAAAGAACTTTATGAGTGCCCTTAAAGGTTCAGTGGTAAGTATCGACTATAAAAGTAAACACGAGTTCGATTTTGACCAAATCAAATTTGATTTTTCGTTAGATTAAATACTATTGTCCTTAATTTAAAAAAAAAGAGAGTGTTATTTTATTTGTAAATCTTCGCTTATGTAATTAAATTACCCTTAAAATTGTCATTTCTTAATTTTTCTGTTTGAATTTTAAAAATAGAATGCACGCAAAACAGAAGCATATTAAATGAAGTTAAAATATAAGATTTTTCCAGAAACTATTGGTTGTTTTGTACATTTATTCTCACAGCCCGGATAGCTCAGTCGGTAGAGCATTGGACTTTTAATCCAAGGGTCCAGGGTTCAAGTCCCTGTTCGGGCGATTGAGCATTTTTTGTTTAGTTTTAAATTAACTTGTTAAGTAAGAATTTTACATTATACGCACCTTAGATTCTCAAAATAAGGATGCAGTTTTGAGTAAGAAATATAACCCTAACAAAATAAGAAGAGCTATGACCTCTTTTGTTTTTTAATTTTTTTTAACGTAATGTATTCTGTTACATCAGTCATTTCTATTTACCTGTAGCCTGTAGGCTCCAAATTATGACAGATGAGGTCAAAGCCGGCACGAGCGGGCAAAAGTGATTCGCATTGTCTTAGATAATTGCCGATCGTCCGTGATCTCTGATCTTGGGGTTACGATCACATTTATGACCACAAACATTTTTAATGCATATACGTCTAAATATAACTTAGTCAAAGATAACGCTGGTTACATTTTAACACTGATCCAGTATGCTTATAAGCCCAGGGTAAATAGACAAAAGCATATTAAAACTTTATTTTACATGGAAGATTGCTATGTCGACTTCATGCCGGCGATAAATTTGAGACCAATCATGGCTTTTAAACAATTAAATGCGATCTTAGACAATAAATAAATACGATTTTTAGATGGATGGATAGACGTTTGAAGCCTAACCTGCTGTTCATAATATCAATCAGGGGTCAGAGTTAAAACAAGTGTTCAACTAAACTGTAATACAGTGACTCCTTAACAGAAGAGTACGAGAGAGAAATTAATGTGGCGAGTTTATAAGCCATTTGGAAATGTCTCTCAGTTTGGCATTGTGACCTTGGTCCTTTTTAATCATTATCATCTCCCCTACCCTATCCTACTTCCGTTGGTGCGACGCACCGGCTTTTCGTCCTCCACATAACTCTATCATCCGTCATCTCAGTCATCCTCCCTTCATCATGTCACCTTTCACACAATCCATCTCTTTCTAAGTCTACCTCTACCTTTTTAATGTAGCGTATTTCTAAACACTTACTCCGTTTATTGTAATATCGTGGTCGAGTGCAATGCAGAAAGAGACAATCGGAACAAACATCGCCGCTAACACATGTTACAATATTGAAGCAATCATATATGAACAAAAGCCATCTCCGTTACCTGTCAGATGAGATCTTAAAGATAGCCTGAAAAGGTTGCCAAATCTATTGATGAATCTGTTCGAAAAATATTACATGAAAGATAAGAAAAAGTGCAATCAGCAAAGGAACACGTAACCACAAAAATGTTGAGTTTATTCGTAGCATTATATATATTTATATTTAGAAACACAGAAAATTTAAACTGTAAATGTTTTCAAAATTTGGTGAAGTTAAAGGAAAAACAAAAGATAGCTGACAAAGGCAACTAAATAATTTTCTTTCATTTAAAAATTCGCGCTCTGTAAAATGCATTCTTGGTAATCAATATAAAATACGTGTTTGTAGCGTATATTATTTCAACTAGGTAAAAACATTCGCCCGAACAGGGACTTGAACCCTGGACCCTTGGATTAAAAGTCCAATGCTCTACCGACTGAGCTATCCGGGCTGTGAGAATAACACGAGTAAACAACCGTTTATTTCTTGAACGACCATAATTTCTTACAAATATAGTTTACAACTAGCTTTAGCCCGCAACTCTGTCTTAATTAATTTGGTAGATGTTGAGGAATCTATCAAATTTCACTGAGATCCGTTCAGTCGTTTAAGCTACAAACTCTAACAAACATCCACCCATCCATTCATGTAAACTTATACTAATAGTAAGATAAGAAAAAAAAAAACAATGTAGAATTCAAAAATAAATATATTCATAGTTTGACGTTAAATCGATCAGTTTAATAATTGTAGCCATTTCTTGAGCTGAAAGTGGGTTGACGACTCCTGTTGCCGAATCCACCGATCTTTCCTGAAGACCGTTGTTCAAATGGAGGTAAATAGGCTTTGTTAAGTCCATTTTGCTGGTTCCTAAGGTTGGCAAATCCTGGTTGGAAGTCAGTGGTCGCGGAGTTGACGACGACTGAGTCTTCGTTTTTAATGTTGGCAATAGGTTGGACGAAGTTGGGAGTTGCGTAGCCGTTGTCATTTGTGTACTTGTTTTCGTTGTAAGAACCTGAAAACATATTAGAAAATCATACTAAAATATTAATGCGAAAATTTAGATAGATGAATGTTTTTAGAGTTTGTAGTCATAACTGCTGAACGGATCTCCATGAAATTGGGCATAGATGTAGAGCACAGTCTAAAAGAATACATAGGCTACTTAGTTTTTTTTTTTTTTTTAATTCTACGCGGACTGAGTCGCAGGTGAAAAATAGTTTCCAACATTCAAAAGTAAATCACCACACGTGTAAGAAAGAAAGAAGGGCTCTATTACCGTCATCATAGATTCCTGCAGCTTCATCACGAGCGTTCTGTTCCAGAGCCAACTGGATCTCTTGCGGGATCGGGGGTGGGGTGGGGAGATGGTCACCCTCGGGCACGAAACCGTTCTGACCAGCTGTGTATCTGAAAAATAAAACAAAAAATTAATACAGGCTTTAACATTTTTTTTCTACATTTAAAATATTTGATAAATATGGGAATAAATGTGAAACGGAGAATGTCGGTAGCACTTGATTTGTAATCTATAGGTCCTGGGTTCGAATTCTGCCAGCAATTTTATTCAGTGAAGCAAAACTTGATGCAACATGCACATATTTATGAAGGAATTCAAAGATATATAATGTCAGCCATAGTGAGGACATACAGTGATGTGAAAATGATGATGGTGATGATGGTGATGATGGTGATGATGGTGGTGATGATGAAATCTATTGCTTAAATATCGTGATAACATATTCTAGTTCCGTGATAGACGGCATATATCAAAGACGCACGATTATTTCAACGACTACTTTACTCTTATAAGGGGATTACTAATTTTAAGTTGTTTTTTTTATATTAATTAAATACGCGTGAGCTTCATTACATCATCACATATGATCGATTTGTAGACGAATATAACGAGTTATGAAACATGTAGTAATTTCAATTTATTACGTGAATTAATCCTCGTTTAATTCGAGTTAACTTTTTCGCTAAGACCTACACTATTAAAAATGACCTTTACGATTAAAAAGATATAAAAAAAACATTTAAGCTCAAAATATGCTTAAATTAAAAAGGTTACGTTGCAAATAAAGAGTGAAAATAACTTAATAATACCAATAATAATTAATTATTAATTCCTGTACAGTCAGCTGCACAAATATCTAAGCATTTACAAAATTTCAGAAACATGTGTAAGCTTCAGTTTCCGTATTCTACCGACTTCATACAATTCTTTGACATCTCTCTTATTTGATTTACTTTGTAAATGTATACTCAAATTATACAGCGGACTGTACCAAGAAATCTCAATAGTTTAATTAATTTTATTAAGAAACCTTAAATGGGTAATATATTTCTCTCACCTGACACTGTATACTTGTCCATCGTCACCAGTGTAAGAATACCCTCCTTGCGCTTCAACACCATTTGTGGCGATTCCATTTTCCTCAGCAACAATACCGTTTTCAGTTTCGAAAGCGTAAGAATATCTTTCACCGTCATTTTCATTGGATTGACGTACTATAGCTGCATTTCTTTCGAACGCAGCTCGGGGACGTTCAGCACGAGCATTGACGGCATTGCCAATTGTATATTCATTGCCGAATTGTGCGATAGTATCTTTAGCAATGAATCCATCGTTTCCTTGTCCGTTAAACGAATTGGATAAGGGTGTTTGAAGGAATTCTGATCCCCCAGATGTTTGAGCGTAATTCGGTGGTAGATACGCCCTGTTGAGCTTTGCCGCGCTTGAGTAAGCGACGAAAACTGTTAAAATGATCTGTGAATGAAATAAAATTATTGTTTAAACAATACTTAACTTAAATTACAATAAAACTATATTCTACATTTTTGTTAGTTAATCTATTGTTAAATAAGAAAAAACTATTACAGTTTTTATTACGTTAAAGGTCACGTAAAGACTTTTATAACTTACAGTTAACAAAGTCGAACTGTTCAGTTATAACTGAACGTCTGTAGCGGTCTTTACGTGACCCGTAATTTTAATTTTTTCAGCTTACGTAGTGGGTATTAAGGGTTAAAAAGGGTTGAATCCATAAATTTTATCAAGTACATATTATTTAAATAAATGTAATAATTAATACATTTCATAAATGCTTTACCAATTTCATTGCGAATATTTTTCTCTCACAAGCTATCTCACGAATGTTGGACAGTTAACTGATGCTATCGATGTTCTCTGTACAATATTTATAGTGATGGCCGCCCTGCATTATCGATCCACTTTAATATGGAAGATGTTCGCAGCCAAAAGTCGTGGTTTAACATTGCCTAATCAATGCGTTACTATCACGGGCGTCTAATTGTTGCGGACGGTGTTATGCAAAAATGATCAGATTACGGCTGATAGAGATGTATGGATACTGCGAAAAAGGAAAAGGCTTAGATGAGGACGGTGTTATCCAAAAGCGTTAAACGTTCTAACATCTGATGAACTGGTTGGTATTATGCAGAAGTTACGATTATCGTTTTTTTCATTCAATATTAGTATTATGGCATTGGCCAAAAATGTGCAATAATAAAAATGCTGCGCTCTTGCATACCGCCATCCCGTGGTATACAAATCTATTTCAATAAGCTTATTAACTGGATGGGCAGTAGTTAGACCATATTTCATTCTCTACTGACCTCGCTTCGCGTCCCAATACTTTAGACTATGGCCCTTGTTTTTAAATAAATATATCGCCATGATGTAAAGAATAATGCTTGAATTAATTGCCCTAGTATCCTTCAGGTGAGTTTAATAAAATAAATAACACACATAAAAAAAAATAGAAAAAAAACACACAGACGAATTGATTACCTCCTTCTGTTGGAAAGTCGGAAAAAAGGACATTTTGTGACTCTTTCTTGGAAAATTAAATCTAAAATCAATGTTATAAAAAGAAACAAACAATTCTTTTTATCCACCAATCTTTTTTTTAAGATGGAAGTTTAAAAACCACAAAAATATCTTGCATATTTCCAACAATGAGAATGCGCATTCTTAGCGAGGTTTTATACACTTTTAAATTCAACTAATTTAAAAGTTACATTAAAACTCGTACTAATTGTTTTTAAATTACTTTAAAACTGAAATAGGGTAATTACTGAGATGATACAGTTTTTTCTTTTATCTTTAAAGGTCAGAATAGATTGATATTGGCGATTAAAATATTGTTAAATTGCTAAAAACGCCTGCGGGGTTCACACGTCGACCTCGGATGGTATGTAGGGAATGTTATTTGTATAAATATTTTCACGCTATTAAACTTCGTTGGTAAATAACTTGGATAAAAATGCTAATGTGGGAAAGAGACCACACGTTGCTGCCAACATCAAGGAAGCAAGATTGCAATGGTTTGTCGCCATGTCATGTCATTCTGACATTTGCAATTGATAAATTGACAAATGTAAACGATAAAATGAAGTTTTTATAATTACCTGCGGAAGAAGCCGCATGGGAACAGCTAGTTTATAAATAAATTAGCTTTTGCCCGCGAGTCCGTCCGCGTAGATTAAAAAAAGCAAAAGGAAGTGACCTATGTGTTCTACCACTATCTTCTACATCTATGCCAAATTTGTTCAGGCTACAAACTCTATCAAACATCCATCCATCCATCTCATCTTTTGCATTTATAATATTAGTATGATATAATTAAATAGATATATGGGTTTTTTTCATTGTTCAGTCGAGAATTTTAGTTGGGACAGCAAACTGCGGTCCGCGTATAGCGAACACAAACTGCACTTTGAAACCATCAGTACTGATTCATTAACAGCTTGTGTATGTCCACCCTTAGTGTAAAGAAAATAATTTAAATGTTCATGGCTTTAAAGAGCTTTTATCAACTAAAAGGAATTGTTTTCTTTTTTACATTTTTTTTTTACAAAAAGTTATCGTTAGCATGATAATAATATAAAAACATCTAGAGATACATCAAAGGTATCCTGGAATCCACCCAAAGAATTAACTTTGTATAATCAATTCGACCATCTCACGAGTGCATTGTGCTGCCTACACAATATTAAACACCTCTTCGTCTACCAAATGTCACGGCCAAGTGTAATTGACATATCAGTTTAAATGAGTCACACAATGATATCCATTAGTTAAATATACTTAAACTTTTGTACACTGAAATGTAGCAATCGCTTGGCCTTAATATCATCTAAAGACTTAATTTAAGGTAATTCCGTTTATAGTATCTAATGTGTTTAAATGCTCTTACATTATAGTAGACTAGTGTTAGCATGAGAGTTGGTCAGCGCGGAATAATATAAAATGTGTAAGTAGCCTGTTTTCTTCCAGTCTATACTCTACATCTGTGCCGAATCAATCATTATCCCATCCTCATCAACCCATCAATACAAACAATACCTGCCCCAAAAAAAACGTGTTTATACCTAATGTTATAAACACGAAATTTTCTAAGTATGGGTTAACTTTAATAAGTAAGAGCTATAATAACTACAGTTTAAGTGATGAGTATTTGTTCGGTATAGATAGCACGGGTTCGCCACATTCGGTGGCGAACATAATTTTGTATTTCGCGCCCCGGGTTTTGTGCGGGTAAGCGCGCTTATTTTATTTTTCTCGCACGGGCGGGTAGAAGAATAAACCCTCTCCACTACGGACGGGCGCGGGGCCTGCGGAGAGGGGTGCGAAAAAAAAGGTCGGAATCGAGCAGCCAAGCGGAACGGTCGCGAACTTGTGCGGATTAGAGTTGCTCTTTTGATAACGCGACGACACAACAGGCGTGTCGATTTCGGTAGCGAACGGGGTCGCTAAATTCGGTTTCGCGTTCGAAATTGCTGATACATCTTCAGGCAGCATCGCTGGGCCTATAGACTTGACTGAACCAGACTGACTCGATTGACATTGACTGAGACAAGGCACCTGCAGGAGGTGACGCAAATTCATCGAGCTGGTGAGTACCATTTTCCCCATTACGTTTACAATATTATGCCCTCCGGTGCAATCGTAGTTCAAGGGTAGGTTGTGCCGCGGGACCCGAACCCGTTTGTACGGCACAGTATTCACTATACTGTACAACTATAGTGTCATCTCTTTTATTCTCATTGAAAAAACAAAAGATAAAAGTTCTTAAACACGCCACACATTCATTTGTTAAAACTGAAGATGAGTTGTTCGTTTTAGAAACAAGTACCATATTTACCAGTATCTTAGAGCGGGCGTATACTTATAATAGTTGTGCGATTGTCGATTGTTTTACAGCCAATTCAACTGTTTAGTTGCACAACTAAAAATCGAGTAGTGTGCGCACTTCTATATAAGATTATAGTAATCAAAGCAAGACTAAACAGTTGAGCGATAGTTCAGTCGAAGTTGTGTAGGATGTAAGTAAACTGTTTTTTCCTTACTAATGCTAGAATTGAAGAACAAGGGTGTATCCGAACAGCTAATAATGTTAACCTCCACACGCAATCTCATCTCAGCATAATCATTCTGACATTTAAACGAGAAGTGCGTGATAACATCAGCAATCACAAGCAACCCGAATATTCAAACAAAAGCTGACCCTAAATCTAGACATCTAGGTAGCGCAATACTCGATAAATATGGACGTGAACGTTATTCTGCAAAGTCAGTAAAGTATAGTTAAAAGAGTTTTATTTATTAACAGCTTTCGCCCGCGACTCCGTCCGTGTGGAATGAAAAAAAACGATAGTGAGTCACCTATGTGTTCTTCCAGACTATTCTCTACGTCTATACCAAATTTTATCAAGATCCGTTCAGTCGTTTAGACTACAAACTCTAACAAACATCCATCGATCAAAACTTTCGCATTCATAAAATTAGTAAAGTAATTCATAAAATTAATAAATCAGGCCTAAAATTTAGCTGAATAATCGAACTATACAGTTAAAACTATGTATGTGTGGAAAAAAAAATATAAAAGGCAGGTCATCTGACAGTTCAGATAAAACGAATCAGTACTACTGTTCAGTTAGAATTGATCGTTATTGTTTATTTCTATTCAAGGAAATTGCTTAAAAAGGGGTACAAATTTTTGCTTTTCCTAATGTAATCTTCACTTGGTTTGAATATCTTAATATAATTAACATGTCATTTTAACTACTTTATAATAAATTCTTAATCAAAGTAGCAAAGTTAGACGATGAAAATAATATGCAACCTGTGATATAAGTAATTATGTGTGTTGAAAGTAATTAAGAGTTGTTCAATTATGGCGCCTAAATTACACGATATCGTCAATTGCTCAATGATTTACGGAGTACAGAAGCTTTCAAGTCCAGCTATCGACTATAGTTTATAGAATAGAGAATTGTAGAGACGTTAAAAACTAAGTTAGTCAATCAATTTACAAATATTTTTAGTTGTAGGTAAATTAACAACATAAGCAATCGGGAACGTATATTTCCTACCAATTGAAATGCCGTTTGACGCTCCAAAACTCTTCAAAGCAATGTAACCAATATTTACATACAGATATGTATATGATAGCTCACTAGCGCCCTCTTTTCATTCTAAAAGTGACACGAGATCCTTTTTGCACTAAAGCTGTAATTTTAATTGTTTCTTTTATGCCATTTTAATGCCCCAGGTTTTACATATTTTTGGACATAACCAACCTATAGCAGTGCCTCTCTTACTTGGCTAGATGTACTTGTTTCTTTATACGTGTTAAATTATGTTTATTATGATGGTTTTTTGGTGTATAATCGTAATATGGGTATGGAATTAAATTCATCGACTGTACAGTTTGTGCCATCAGTGCAAAGATCGTACAAAACAAGCTTAGGTGAAATATTAATATGATGAATAATGAGGTTAATGCAGTATTTCTTCATCGGAGCCTATATGATCGTAAAGGCAAGTAATATTGTGTTTAGAAGTGTTTGTACATAGAATCGCCAATAGTCCAATGGTTAAGGGTACGGATTTCCAACCACGTGGTCGAGGGTTCGAATCTCGCCATTCGACTATTGTATACCATATCCTACTAGTCTAGAAATATTGGTAAATCAACAAAAATTGCTAATATCTTATCTTACTAATATTGAAGAGAGCTTGTAGCTTAAACGGCTGAACGGAATTCGATGAAATTTGGCATAGACGTAGAACATACTTTGGTAGAACACATAGATTACTCACTTTTTTTCTTATTTCACGTAGAAAGAGTCGCGGGTAAAGGCTAGTATTTTATATAAAAAAGTGTTTGTATGTCCATCGTCAGTCTAAACTTTTTGTTATGGGTTCATTACATTTTTTTGTTCCAGCGTTGCTTGATTACTTCTATAGCTGTGAACCATTTAGATTGATTACGTAATACAAATGTCTCATATAGGGATGCGGATTCACAAAGGTCGAGACGTGTAATAGCTTTTGTCCCACATAAGGGCCCCGACAATGCTCACGAAAAGTCAAGGCTCAACCGATCCTGGCGGAGCGAGCTTTGAACTTTTAAGTCGTATCTAAGTCATTCAGTCACAAGAATTTATCGGATTATGTAATAGTTTACGATTAAGTCTCTAATTGGTATACTAAATACGAGGCTTAAGTTAAATTTAAGTCGACATGTTTAAGATTAAAACATTTATCCTGATATTAGTCATTTTGGCTCTTACAATTTAGTGCTATGTAACCTTTAAAATAATTAAAAAATCATTTGCATTCTTTATTTGTTTTAGTGATTTTATTATTGTCAAGTATTAGAGTTATATCTTATCGTTGGAAGAATTTTAATTGTGATATTTTTCATTTTACACAGTTCAATATGAATCCGAGTGCAACGTCCTGTTATGCAAAAACAATTGCGCATCTGAGGTAAGCACTGGCTAGCACTACACGATTCTCACACACCCATTGTGCTTTATTCAAATGCATTTGGTAGTAAATCATGTTTTCAGTCGAAACATAATATTATATTACTCAGAGATTCTTGCAAATACTGTCTAAATGTACATAGTAGTAGGTATTTGGTGAATAATTCTACAGTATTAATTTGCTGACTTTTATTTACAATTTTACAAACAGTTATTAAAGTCTCTCCTTAAAGTCAAACAATTTGCTTTATGTTTTAAAAGCTACGTTCATTTTTTTTAATTTTTCTAATGCCGACATTACTTATCCTACAATTGCACTACAATCCTTTGGCCTCAATATTTGTATCCTTCCTCGGGGCTATAGCTTGGAGGCTGGCGAGGGCCACCGAATTCTTGACCAGCACCCTGGTTAGGGGAAGAACCACCAAATCCGGGACGTTGGGGCTGACTGCCTTGGCTAGACTGAGATCCAGGTCTGTTGTACTGATATCCAGAACCACTAGTAGAACCAAAGGATTGATTTCCACCAGGCTTGTATGAAGTTCCCTGTCCATTGCCCGATGAAGATGGCGTGTTCCCACCAGGCTGGTATTGCGAAGGTCTACCGTTTCCGGATCCCGAACTTGGCTGGTTACTGCCGGGCCTGTTGGAATTAGGTTGGAAACCTGAACCTTGTCCAGAAGAACCAAATGAACCGGATCCAGATTGTGTATTAGTTTGTGGCAAAAATCCTTGTCCTGGTCGGTTACCACCAGCAGGGGAAGATCCTTGTGGACGATTGTATTGATAACCTGTCTCTTTTTGACCATTTCCAGATCCTACTCCAAAGCCACTTTGTCCTTGAGTTCCTGCTGTCGGGCCAAATGCACTCTGTCCTTTTGCGCCACCGCTCTGCCCGAAATCACCTTGTCCACGAATCCCAGCACCTTGTCCAGCCGTGCCTTGTCCTTGAGTTGTCTGTCCAAATACTCCCTGACCTCTTGAACCAACAGTTTGTCCGAAGCTTCCTTGCCCTTTAGTTCCAGCGGTCTGACCAAAGGTGCTCTGACCTATTTGCCCTTGTGTACCCGCTGTTTGTCCATATCCACCTTGACCTTGAGTTCCTGCAGTCTGCCCAAAGATACCCTGGCCTTGGGCTCCTGCATTCTGTCCAAAACCACCTTGTCCCTTCACAGCAACAGACTGTCCGAATCCACCCTGACCTTGTGATCCAGCTGTTGAACCAAAGCTACCTTGTCCTCGTGTCCCAGCGTTTTGTCCAAAGGCACCTTGTCCTTGCGTGCCTGAAGTCTGCCCAAAGCCACCTTGTGCACCGGTCTGTCCAAAAGTACCTTGTCCTCGAGAACCAGTTGCCTGTCCAAAGACTCCCTGACCTTTTAACCCTGTGGTTTGACCAAAAACGCTCTGGCCCTGTGAGCCACTTCCTTGTCCAGGTCGACTACCCTCAGAAGATGAAGAACTCTGTGGACGATTATATTGATAGCCTGTCTCTTTTAGGCCGTTACCTTGTTGATTAAGTTGACTGCCTTGAGCTGATTGTCCCACAGAACCTGAACCAATTCCAAAGCTTCCTTGTCCTTGTGTGCCCACAGTCTGTCCAAAGGCACCTTGTCCTTGTCCTTGAGAACCGGTTGTTTGACCAAAACCACCTTGTCCACGTGTCCCAGCACTTTGTCCGAAGCTTCCTTGTACTTTAGTTCCAGCACTCTGTCCAAAGGTACCCTGTCCCTTACCACCAGTTGTCTGTCCAAAACCACCCTGTCCTCCTGATCCAGCGCTTTGTCCAAAGCCACCTTGTACTTTAGTGCCAGTGGTCTGCCCGAAAGCACCTTGTCCACCTTGCACTTGACTTCCAGCACTCTGTCCAAAGGAGCCCTGTCCTCCTAATCCAGCGCTTTGTCCAAAGCCACCTTGTACTTTAGTTCCAGTGGTCTGCCCGAAAGCACCTTGTCCACCTTGCCCTTGACTTCCAGCACTCTGTCCAAAAGTACCCCGTCCCTGACCACCAGCTGTCTGTCCAAAACCACCCTGTCCTCCTAATCCAGCGCTTTGTCCGAAGCTACCTTGTACTTTAGTTCCAGTGGCCTTCCCGAAATCTGCTTGTCCCCCTTGTCCCTGTGTTCCAAAACTCTGTCCAAAAGCACCCTGTCCTTGTGATCCAGAAGTTTGCCCGAAGGTACCTTGTCCTTTCGTTCCAGCACTCTGTCCGAAGCTACCTTGTCCTTTCGTTCCAGCACTCTGTCCGAAGGTACCCTGTCCTTGAGAACCAGTTGTCTGACCAAAAACGCCTTGCCCCTCAGATCCAACTCCCTGTCCAAATGCAGTTTGCCCTTGAGAACCCCGGCCGTAAGTGTAACCTTGCTGATTACTTTGTGTACGTTGTCCTTGGAAACCTTGTTGCTTGAAACCTTGACCTTGAGCGGAGCTTGAAGAAGTTCCATAATTGAGTTCATTCGAGTCCTCTTCAGGGCGATAAGCACCTAAAAGAAAATGCAAAATTAATAAAAAAATAATTTAAGAGTTCTATCAAATAAATAAATGTTTTAATTTATGTGTGCAATGGATTAAGCTTTTTTCCTGTATAAAAAAAATACATTTAAAACACACCTTTTCTATATAAGACAAAAACAAACATTTCGAAGTTCGTGAAAGGAAATAATAAAAGTACGTAATAAACTACATTAAATTAAAAAAAAATTACCTTCTTGGATCCCAGCTGCTGCAGCTCTAGCGTTCTCTTCGATAGACTTTAGTATTTCTTCGGGAATTGGAGGAGGAGTAGGCAAATGTTCTCCCTGAGGTTGGAAACCATTTTCGTCAGCAGTGTACGTCACACTTATCTTTTCACCTTCATCCGATGTATATGAGAATGCACCTTGAGCTTTTACACCATTCGTAGCTACACCAGCTTCTTCAGCAGATATACCGTTAGAAGTTTCAAAACTATACGCGTACCTTTCACCGTCGTTTTCATTTTCGTACCTTAGGATTTGAGCATTTCTTTCGGCTTCGCTCTGTGGGCGTTGCGACTGATATGTCTGCGCAAACGAGTTCGAACCTTGACCACCTTGCCCGAAGGTTGACGTTTGCTTAAATCCACTTTGTGCACTCTGAACTGATCCCGAACCGGAACCGAAAGTTTGTTTAGAAGCAAATCCATTTTGTCCTGATCCAGATGGTGATTGGCTAAATCCGGATGTACCGGTATTCTGGCTGAATATCTTAGATCCAGTGGTACTGGTTCCTGGGCCGAATCCACTTGACCCGAAGGTAGAACCAGCGGATTGAGTTGTTTGACCGGTAGCGCCAGTCTGTCCAAAGCCAGGTAGTTTTGGTAGTGAATCAGAGCTCAACGGTCCGTTTGGTGATCCAAACGGAACGTTCAGGTCTTTAGAGCTACCACCAGATGAGGCTGCATTGAACGGTGGTAAATAACTGCGGTCCAATTTGTCAGCGCAGCCATATGTTATGACTGAAATCACTAAAAGCTGAAACAAACATAATAACTGTAATTAGAATCACTGATTTTTTTTTCTAAATCTAATAAAACCCTAATTTATTTTTCCGTTACAGCCAGTTATTTTTAATTTTTTATTTTATTAATTCCAGCCAGGCAGTTAATTCAATTTTTTTTATTCAGGACAAATTCTTTTTCAATGATTTTTTTCTCTAATCTGTATTTAGGTGGAATAAAGTAGATTAAAAATCCTCAAATGTCACACACTGATGAATATAAATCTTAACCATTTTTTTTAAATCAGTGAACTTGAATTTGTAAAGTATAGTGTGTACATATACGTGAATAAACTAAATGTTATTACCAGCTTCATTTCAAGCTGTACACTTTGCAAGGGTCTAGCTGCGAATGTGATGGCAGACTGAAACGGATCCTATATTTATATCAAACAAAATTCGTTCACCTCACTTCGTTACCTAAAACCGTACTCACGGTCCTAACCTTTGACTGGCTGAGTGAAGATTCTCAAGTATATTTCAATGTGTGCGTACATTGCAAAATTTCCCGATCGATATCCACTTTACACTAATTACTGTATGTATCGTTTATTTTACACTCTATTATTTTAACGAAGATATTTCTTGTAACCTTTATTTAAACATCATTTTTGTTCTTTTATATCTAAAAAAACAACAATGTCTTGTAGTATTCACATTGCTTTTACCACATTCAAGTTCAATTTTCTTTAAAACGATCGTATTTCTTCTTACCATTGTTAAATAGATTCGTAAACATTCAAAATTACATTTCAAAAAGCGTTATTAAGCTTATTAATGTGAGCTTTTGCAACTGTACAGTTTCACACTTAATTGATAATTTTCGAATGACAATTACTTACTTATCAGAGTTAAAAAATAATATACTATTATTTTTAATTAATAACTGACCCTATAAAATTTTTATTACAAATTGTTTCCGACAAAGTTCTTAATAAAGATTTTATATTTACAACGTCATTTAAAGTATTTTTTTCGTTAAATTAAAAACTGAATAGGGATTATTAAAATATTCCAATTACTTTTATTGTTTTAATCGCATCTTAACCAGAGTTTAAAAATTGGGATCAGCTTATTTCAGCCTTCCCACAAAATGGGGTCAATTATCATCATCATCTCCTTATCCTACTCCCGTAAGGTCGGCGCAACAGGTTTTTGTCCTCCACATAACTCTATCATACGTCATCTGTCATCACTCCCTTTTTGATCACGTCACCTTTTAAAATGGGGTCAATAAACAAATCTAAATCTACACTAATATTACACAGAGAAAATAACTCAAAAACTACTGAACTGATTTCAAATATTGCACCATTACAAAACTATTTTATCACTAAGTAACTTTTTTACTACTTTTTATTTCACGCAGACGAAGTCGCAAGCAACAGCTAGTATGATATATTCAAGAATATTCCGTCTAATTTACTAGTTAACAATAGTTACATGTTTTATTGACAGATTAATTACGTATATGCCTTTGTTTATAAGATTAAGGGCCTGTCCCACCAAATTACAAATTGTCTGATAACAATCGTGTAAAATATGTGATGGAAATATCGGATTTTGTTCCCTTATCTGACAGTGACGTCATTTTAAGTTATCTGATGCTCTATCAGCCAGTGGTGGGACAGGCCCTTAGTCGGAAATACACATGACATCAAAATAGTACTTCACACATTCCAGTAAGTCAACATCTTATGAGAGGATATATGTCGGTACCAAGTTTCGTAGTCCCCATCAACTCCTTATGTAGCTGGCACAAATCCAAATGCTACTCATTAGTACTTGGCAAGTGTGCGACAGTCATGTATTCCAGGCTATAGGTTATGTTGTGATTGAAAAGCGATGTTGTGAAGGTGACATTGCGCTGTCTATATTGCACGAGTTCGTGTACCGGCTGACCCGAGCATCAGCTGTCAATTCTGACGATACCGCGTCACGTACAGACAAAAAGTAATCTAAAACAAATATAGCAAATTACTATACTTAAGTGTTTATATAATTTGATCACGTTTTACATTTTTGTACACTAGAATGTTTAAGAATTAAAGAACTTTTATAGAGTACTAGAAAAGATTTAATTTTGAAGGAAATCCTGGTGTTTAAAAAGCTATCAAAAACGAACGTGTAAACGGTCAGAGAGGTATAATGTTAATTCCTAAATTGATGACAATGAATTCAGAATTTATTTAACTTTAAAATATAGCAGTGATCAATAGAACTTAAGGACTAGGTAACTTAATATCAAATATTGAAAGAAAGACAGAGTTAAATTGAAGATTACGTTTAATATGATAGCTTCAATAAATATGTTTTTGCACATATATTTTCACAGGTTTTTGCAAATTGACTTCGTTAATCATCATCACCAGCTCACTATACGTCCCCACCGAGGGGCTCGGAGCCTACCCTAATAAGGGGTGACTAGGCCATAGTCAATCACGCTGGCCCAGTGCGGGTTGGTTGACTACACACATATCTTTGAATTTCTTCGCCGATATGTGCAGGTTGCATCACGATGTTTTCCTTCACCGTAAGAACGTCGGGTAAATAATGTACATATGAAAATTCTAAAAATCGAAAATCACATTGGTACACGGCGGGATTCGAACCCAAGACCTATAGATTACAAGTCAAGTGTTCAAACCACTGAGCCACCGACGCTCTGTGACTTCGTTAATGAATAGTTGAAATTTCCACATAGATATGAAACTAACTAAACAATTAAATACTAAAGTAACAGATACTTAAAACTCTAAATTATTGTAATGTACCTCCGTAACATTGCATATAACGTTTCCTAATTCAAAGAGTTTTAGTAAATGTTTTCAATCTTTTTTTCTTAAAATCAAAACCTAAATATCTAATAATATCAAAACCTCTCGTTAAATAAAAAACCTAATAAATCAATTATTAGGTTTTTTATTTAACGAGAGATTAAATCGTCGCATAACTGTTTAGTCGCGCTTTATTCCTATGAGCTTATATAAGCTTTCATATGGAAGTGCGTAGAATACTCGAATTTTAGTTATGCAACCAAACAATTGAATTAGCTGCAAAACAATTGACAAACGCACAACAGTTGTGCGATAGTTTAGAAAAAGATGTACGCGCGCTCTAAAACTTCCTATGCTTTGTTTCTTGATTGTTGATGTCCGTTGTAATAAAACATTGCATTATTTATTTAGGTTTACAATTTTACTAAAGTTCAATACCTATTTGAAATCCAACATTCCATCTAATTGGTCCGTCGATCTCAGATAATCATGTCTTCTTTAAATAATGTTATGCCTTTTGTACTATTAAATTGAAAATTGTATATACTACCTAGAACTTGTTTCTAGATTAAACAATTAAACAGATTGATGATTTATTTATGAGAAATGACAGAACAATTAATCAATATAAATACTAGACAATTTAACAAAAGCAATCGTGAAGTTAACAAGAGAAGCTCTATTAGTATTGATATAAAAAGGAAACAAAGCAAGCTAATTAAAGACGTGGAGTCGAGTCACCGGGAGCCGACTTACTTCCTGACGCAGCTACGGGTCCGGGGACCAGTCGCGCCGAATGTGGCGGATGTGCCCCCTCTTGTGTTCCCGAGGGGGCCATCATCGTAGGGTGATGGGAGGGGTTTAACATCTGACCCCTCCCTACACATGTCGAGCCCCTACCAAGGGGCTCCCCCTAGCCGGGTCGTGGATAAACTAACGTAGATGCCACGGCCCGGTTGGGCGAAGGAGAACACCGCGGGGTTTAGTGGGTAGTCCGGCCGGAATTAAGGCCGGGAGTCCCACACGAAACTGTCCTTGCTGCCTCCGCAGCATGGACGGTGAAGTGCGTAAATGCATTCCCCGCGACAACAAAAAAAAAGCTAATTAAAGACTGCAAGTTAACATAAAGGCAAAATTAATTAACGATAAAAATAAAACTCTACAAGCGCTAAATATAATGTGTTAATTATATTGTTACATGAAACATTAATTCCATAGGGGACGTTGACCATAGATAAACAGAAGTCAAAAGTACTTCGTAAATTATCCTTCATCGTGCATTCTGTACAGTTTAGTATACTTTAAGATCATGCAAACTTATAAAAGCTTTATTCAAATCGATTTATTGTTAACAATCTATAAATCTAACGTACAGAACATCGTGATTTCATATTTTTTAATCCCTACCAGAGACATTTAGAATTGGTAATCTTCGCGGTTCATCTGCTTTATGGCATGAGAAATTATTTTAAAATACCAGTTTGTTAACGTGTACATTCATCTATAGATTTATAGCTCATTTGACTATCTATACCAACATAATAAAACTTAAAATACACACTTCTGTGTTATGTTAGATGTCAGAGATCACAGCATATTTTGAATGATTCATTTTTTAATTAAGCCCCTTACACTAGGACACGTTTGGGGCTACATATTTTAAAGCTATTATAATTAGTATGTGAGTAAACTGGATTTTTTTTTATGTAGCCAAGGTCTAAGATTTTTCTCCCATCTCCATGAAATAGTTAAAAAAATTGTATGTTCATCACAACTTCTGGAAGATATATAAACAGTTCTCAGCACAAATAATTTAATATCGATTTCAATTCAGACGAAGTTGCCGACGGTAGCTAGTTAAAAATTATCAGCTTCTATGTGGTAAGTTGCAGTAATTTGCGCAAATAATCAATGACGTCACAACATCAGTCACTGTCGAGCTTTTAAGCTTTTTACAAAAGTTATTTCTAAAGTATCTCACAAATGAGGAAATAACAACTTGTGTATCTTGTAAACATAAAACAATAGCTTTTGCCTGCGACTCTGTCCGGACTTAATTAAAGAATTTTATAATAAACTAGCTTTCGCCCACGACTCTGTCCACGTGGGATTTTAAAAAAATAACCTATATATTCTCACAGACTACTCAGGCTCTTCATCTGTGCCAAATTTCATAGAGATCCGTACAGCCGTTTGGGCTACAAATAAACATCCATCCCTCCATCCAAACTTTGGCATTTATAATATCAGTAAGAAGTAAAATGTAGCTGAACTACAATCAGTTACTGAACCCTAAAACTATAAAATACAATAAGTTTCGGCTGTTAAGGTAACAAAGAAAAAGCTCTTTATAGTGGTTCGTTGACCTTTAAATTATAGATTCCGATATTTTTACGTTAGAGTCATCATGTATGTGATACGCCCTCTCAATAGTGAACTTCAAATCTCGCGTATCGATCTTATCTAAAATATTTTCATAGTACACAAGTTTCAAAGAATAAAACCTGCTTTAATATTATGAATGGGCAGGTTCCCCTCGTGCAATACTACGACCATAGATGACAGGCGTGAAATAGAATTGTGTGTGCCGGAGTTTTAATTTCTATCCTTTTTCCCTTTCCATTTTCGTATGAGGAAAAGGGAAGTAGATGTAGTAGAGGATGGGACGCATAGATAAGGGTAATATCTTTCTCAGCGTCTCCTCTTCTATTTGTTAATGGTAGGTAACGCATCTGCAAATCCGAATGTCTATGGTCAGCGATTATTTGCTTGTTTGTCTCCTTACACTGTTAAATGTGTTGTTATGAGCATTTCTTGATAAATTAGAAATGCACCTTTCATACTTTTTAAGTATAATGCCCTAAAAAAATAAATTTTGCTTAAAATATCCTTTCGGAACTTGTCTATTTTATTCCCTTCGAGAGCAATGACGTCACTTTTTTTATTTAAATGTGAGGTTTTTATACAAATGTATCGGTTAATGGAATTAAATGTAATTGTTATACATTTTTGCTTTTAGTATTAATTATTTTGTATGCTATTTAAAGATATTCTAATTAAATGTTTTTTATCTGCATAACTTCCTGATAAGATAAAATTTTATCTGGATTTTGCAACAATAGTGTTAAGTAAGTTTATATTAAGTTTGATTTTATTTTTAATGAATGACAAACTTAGAAGCCAACAGATGTAGTTAAAATAGCAAACTATAACAGCTGCGCTTGCTCAGTAATTGACAGACATGGGTAACTGGCTTGCTTATATATATCATAAAAGCTCAGTGAATACCTGTAGACTCTTTTCCTAGCAGTGGTAGATCCCGCTTTAACATTTTCGCACGAATGGGCCCGCTCGCCCGGTGTAATACCACGACCACACAGAAAACAGGCGTGAAGTGGAAGCAATTCCGCGTACATTCTGATGAGTGTGGTGCCGGAGGCCTAATTTTAGTCCCTTTCCCTTTCCACTATTTTCTTAAGAGGAGAGGATGGGTAGGAAAAGTGGATTTGACGGTGGAGGAGACGCATAGGAAGGGAAAATGTCCTTTTTATGTGCGTCTTCTCCTCCGTCAATTAAGGGTAGGCAACGCATTTGCAATTGCGGATGTTTATTGGCAGCAGTCGCTTTCCATTTCAGTGTATTCAGGTGGCCCCTTGCTCGTGTGCCACTTCATATTATGAAAGAAAAAAAGCTTAGAATCCTCAGTGAAATTTAAATGTCGTTACGAGTTAAGGCAAATGTTTTGCTAAGTTCTGATGAATTGAGAAATCGTTTGCTCCTATAATTGGAATTCGGTTTTAATAAAATAATATAATACTTATAGCAATTTAACTAAGCGTATTAATTGCCTAGTACCTAGACCTAGGTTTTGAGTTATTTCAATACATACAAAAATACAAATCTTTCCTCTTTAGTAGTCCATTTTATCTTAGTATAGATGAATGGATGGATGAATTGTAGCTATAAGGTATCTCCAGAACATAAAGGATCCCGGTGAAATAGATAGAGGATAGAGGTCTCGTAGATGTAGAACTGTCTCGAAGAACACGTTTTAATTAACTTCGCGCAAACAGAGACGTAGTCAAAAGCTAATGAAAAATGATGCTAGTAGAAGTGATTTCATGTATTTGCGGGAATTCAACTAGTGTCAAATAAGTACATGATTATTACAATGTTATAAATAAATATGTCGGTCGTCGCTTTACATTTGCAACCGCTCCTACACGGTCGTCTTTTGTCTGCCGTACTATAATTAACAGAACTCTAGCAAAGCTATAAAGCTTGTATTATCTATTGTCTATCATTGCACAATACATGTATGTTTATAGCCAAACATATTCGTTCATGATATTCCGATGTCAAGAATTTGGACGCCTGTAATTGTGTAATTGCTAATTTTCATTATTAAAGTCGTGAGATCTATATGAAGCTATAAAGCAATGTATAGAACAAATTGTGGTCTTTACCTTTAGAAAAATATTTACAAAACTCAGTAGTTAATTTAAATTAGCATCTAGTTAGTAATAACTTGTATAATGCAAATTAGACAAAAATACTCGTTCGTATGGTGAAGGAAAGCATCGTGATGCAACCTGCACCTATCAGCGAAGAAATTCAAAGATATGTGTGAAGTCAACCCGCACTGAGCCAGCATGATTGACTATGGCCTAGTCACCCCTTATTAGAGTAGGCTCCGAGCCCATTAATGGGGACGCATTGTGAGCTTGTTATGATGACTCGTTCAAAGTAAGCATAAAACGATAGGATAAGAGACAAATCAAAGTTTTAATAATACATTTATAAAATATAACAAGACGGATTCATAAAATTCCTTTGCGTTTGATTTCGAAATCATAGGAATGTAGTAAATTATGGTTAATTCAAAAATTACATATGACAGATTGCGTGTGAAATATGAAATGGTCAAATAATGGACATAAATGAGCCTAACAAAAAATGTGTTGCCATTTACATTGTCAATTTATAATATAATTATAGTATTCGAGTCAATTGCTCTGCACACTGCTTTGAAAAACTTGTTACAAGTCTTATAATAAGTATTGAGTAAGTACTCTTAAATCGTGAGAATCTTAATATTTCGATCTTAAATCTATACTAAATAGTTATAGAGCCTTACAAATAAACGCGGTATAAGTTAAACTTAGGAATTAACTGAGTATAAGCTTGTACTAATATCTGCTTATACTCTATTTATTCCCAAGATTAATTTTATACCGCATCTGTTTTTAAGGCTGTTAGTATTTAACTCAAGTTTTTTTCTTCTAGTTCATTACAAACCCAGAACATTAGACATGAAATTAAGTAAATATTTTATCGAGTACACAAAACACTCGACACTGGCCCAATCCGCTTAGGGAGTGCCATAGACAAGAAACTGAACTGTACACAAAACAGTTTTTAAAAATCCCAACATTTGTTTTTATTAAAACTTACTGATAAAGTCATTCGACCTTAACATACTTAGAGAACCCATCGGTCTCGGCAATACTTCAATTATAGAGCGGCCATTATCACAATTGTTGATAATAAACGGTCCAGCAAACCATAACGGTTAATTCAACGGCCAATAATATAGGAATTAAAAGTTCTAAATTATGATTTCAATCAAGGGCCTCGCCAGCCGAAGGTATGTGAAGCAAACCGAGAGAGAAGGCTGTAGTAAAAATGATTTTAATTTCTAAGAGAATGCTTTAAAAACCTGCCATACTAACATATTAAATGCAAAAGTTTAGATGCATGGATGGTTGTTAGAATTTTGTAACTAAACAACAGAACAAATTTCAATGAAATTTGGCATAGCTCTGGAAGAAGACATAGGCTACTCGCTTCTGTTTTTTTTTTTATTCTACGCGGACGGAGTTTAGGGCTAAAGCTCGTCAGTGACAAATAAAAGTATATGGGTTTTTACACAATAATAAAACATGTTCATTTTTTAAATAATTTAATAGAAATATAAAATATTTTACAATGCTAAAATAGTTATCACTTTCTTATGCTACATTGTTACAATGTACGAAACTAAAAATACTTTTAACCTATAAAAGAGGTTTTATTAATAATGGTAGCCAGTAGCCTCGTCGAAACTGGGCGGTCGTCTAGGACCACCGAATATTTCTCCTCCTGTCTGACTAGTTACTGAATGTAAGTTCTGTGGTCTAAATCCAATTGAGGGAGTATTAAAAGAATTTTCATTCATTACTCCAGGCTTTTGGTTCTCTTGACCAAATTGTACTGATATTCCAGAGTTTATTTGATCCTGGGATTGAATTGGTTTACGGGAATCTTTAACGTCTTGCCCAGATGTTCTAGGACCTTGACAACAAGGTCTAATCCTAGTTGAAAAATCTAACGGTCCCTTGTAGTTAGTAGTTGGTTGATTTTCAGCGAAAGCGCCTGAAGTAAATCTTGTTGTGTCACTTGTTGGTTTAATTGCCTGTAAATTGTTGGAAGGGATTGTCTGTTGTGTGTTGGTGTTGAAGTCTTGAGTAAATGAAGTGGTTGTAATACCCTGTTGATATTTGTTTTGATTGAATTGTCCCTGTAAATTTGTTTGTAATTGAGGTCTTGTTACTGTTAGCTGGTTGTTTTGTGGACCACGATTGCTGGTAACTTGCGCATTCTGTACTGTAGTTTGGATTGTTGGTCGTATCTTTTGACCGAATTGTGAAAAATTATCAGGAGTAGTTGAACTGTCTTCATCAGATTCAGTGGTGGGTAGAGTTGGTGCAGGTTTGTTATATTCATATATTTCACCATTATACTGCTGGCTTGTTGTTAATTGAGGTGCATTATTGCTCAGTTCTGGTTGGGCTTGATTAGCAGTTTGTACTACTTGGCTATCACTAAGAGTTGCCTGATCTCTATTAAATGAAATAGTTGCAGTTGTATCTTTTTGGAATGAAGTATTAATTTGGAAATTCTGAGAGAGACCTACATTTTCAGATTGTTGATTCTTTGAACTTGTATATTTGGTGGAGGTTGATGGAAAGGGGGATACAGATGCTTGAGTTATTCCTGTGAATTGTTCTTGAAATCCGTCCATTTTAGTTGGAATTGTTGGTGACTGTACAGATTGGGTTACTACTGGAGGTTGAGGGTATTTTGTCGATGGCCTGAATCTATCGTTGAATGAAGCAGATGGGGATTGGGGAATATTTGAATATTGATTGTACATAGAAGTAGAAATAGTAGGTGCTACAGTAGGAGGTCTAGGATATTTAGTCACCACACCGTTGTTAAAACCACTGTTGAAAGGACGATTTCCTGTTGTGAAGGTCGGTGTGGTCACTTTATTGGCATTGAACGGTTTCGATGGTTGATTATAATAATAGGAATGATCTGGACCTTGCAGCTGTTGGTTGCCACTCAAATTAATGTTTGTATTTGTTAGCTGATCTGATGTCTGCGCTACAACGTAAGTCTGTTTGATTTCATTTTTGTTAAGATTTTGATTAGATGTTCCGAAAGCAATTTGTGGAACATTACTTGACTGAGAGTTAGCATCCGAGAAAGACGCTTGAGTAGGAAGTGGCACATTAGGAGTGCTAAGTTTTTTATTTGAATTTGGAGTATCTTCAAAAGGCGTGGTTAAGTCTAAACTTGGCTGTAATGTTGAAGGTATATTATTAAAATTGTTATACGATGCTTGAATTCCTGATTGAGTATTTTGATTTTTATTAAGGTCTGAATATTGGCCATTTATGAATTGACTCTGTGAAGGCTGACTATTAGAGTTTTGAGTAAATTGATTGAATTGATTGCTGGGAAAAGATTGAGGACGCGATTGTCCGATATTTAAGGGTTTGTTCAAATTACTGTTTAAACCAAGCGAACCAAAAGTAGAGCTTTCAGCTATACCTTGTGCTGTATTCTGTGAATTGTATGAATTAAGAGAAACAGTTGGCCGATTATTAGTATCAAGATTGTTAGTTGGAGGTAAATATGATTGCTTAATTCCAAATCTATTATTTGTGCCTGAGTTCAATTGAGGTGTTCCAAAGAATATGGGCCTTGAATAATCGCCGTTATCTTCTTGATTTGAAGAATCTTTCTTATCCGATTCTGGTGTACTGAAATCAATTTGTACTTGACCATTATTTTGTTCAAATGGTGCACCTGATAATGGCTGCTTTCCTAACGCTGTTACGAAAGTAGGTTGAGGTTGTAAATTATTTTGGAAGGATGGAATATTATTCCTGACGTCATCGTTTGATGTTTGAGATTGTTGTGGACCATTCAAATTCTCGAATACACGAGTATTTTGATTGATGAATGTACTGCTAACATATGCATCTGATTCAGACACTCCGAACTGTCCACTATTATATCTCTGTTCATTGTTACTGTCACTTTTTGTGCGATCGTCTTCTACATTGTACTTCTCGGCGTCGTATGAACCTGTAAATGAAAAGGAAAGTTTTCAATCATTTGTCAAAGCTTTCAACTGAATAACAGACGACAAAACATTTATCAAGTTATTCAATGTGCTCAGAACATTATCTTTTGATTTTTTTACTAATAAATGCAAATTTTAATACTTCAAATTACAAATTATCGGTTGTCGACTTATTGATTTACGACATAGGTTATCTTGTTAAAATCCGAATTAATATTTAGCGCCGTTGTAATATAACATAGTAAAGTTTGACCTACTCACTATTTATGAGGACCAGTATAGTTAAGTATAGGTGCTTATGTACAAAATGCTAATTCATGTTTAATACAAGTGTGAAATTCGATATTCAAATTTGTACCTTCAAGAGTGTTCAAACCTTATAATTATTAAAAACAAAAAAAAACACTAATTACTTATATGAACATGCCTCTTCTTACGTACTTTACATAAATAAATAATTTATGTATAAAGTCGTTTTCCTTTACAGCATTTTTGTAGAGTACAATGACCCTAAAGCCACCCTAATGACCAGTTATATCTAATCCGAAGCTCTCTAACAGTTACTAAAATTATATGATTTTCCTCACTGTATATTTCTATCTTCTATACTAATATTAGAAAGAGGGAAGTTTTGTATTTTTGTATGTATTAAAATAACTCAAAATATACTGATCCGATTTTAAAAATTCTTTCACCGTTAGAAAGGTAATTTATCTGCAAGTGACATAGGCTACATTTTTTTATTATTTTTAAATTCACGCGGGCGAAGTCGCAAGAATGAGCTAGTCTAGTATAAAATTTGATGACGGAAGACATGGTACGTTTTTAATTTATTTTTCCGACCTTATTTTGCCTGTGAAATTAAAATCGTGTGATGATGTGAATTTAATTTCTTTAATTCATCAAAGCATTCTTTATCGTAAAGAACAAAATGTCGAGGTTAAATTAAAAAGAATATAGCAAAAGTAACAACAATACTACGTATGCTTTGTGTTGTTTTTATTTTTGTAACGAATACGCTTATAGTTCCCGGATGCAGAACATTGAGTAGGTTTTACTGCTTTTGTATCTTTGCTAAAATATTTTTATGACTCTTTTCTTATGAATCATACAGCGAAATAATCGAGCATTTAACAATAAAAATAAGAAATGGAATTAATATATTGATGTTTTGGTATAGCTAATTTTAAACCATACATAATGGATAGGACAAGGGCGGTGAATCAATAGCACGCGTACCATTAATCGAATAATGTTTTGGACACATGACTGATCGTTACAAAATAATCATACACAATGTCATAATTGTTTGATGGCACATCTACGACAGCATTAAACGTGTCTTTTGATAAAACGCACGTCAAGTTTGGTACCCCTGGATCAGGATACCAAAGAAAAGATAGATATTTTCAAGTGTGTAACTCCAATACTAGCGCTAGTTTCTAAAATAAACAGCAACTACAAATTTGCTAATCTTGTGAACTCATACGCAATTACTGTAAAATGTTGAAAAAATAGTCTCATCTTCCATTTTATTAAAATTACCATCCATTTCGTAAATAGTAATCAACATCTCTAGTTTGATTTTAATAATTGGATTAAAGATTTTCAACGATACCATTAAATGTTACAATAACTAAGCAATAACCAAGCGATAAATATTTAGGCAGCTTTAGTTTAAACGGAATTTTAGATAACTCTGACGTAGTTTTATTATTGTTTACTAGCTATCGCCCGCGACTCCCTCCGCGTGGAACTAAAAAAACCAAAAGTGAGTAGCCTATGTGTTCTTCCGGACTTTCCTCTACATTTATACCAAATTTCATCAAGATTCATTCAGCAGTTTAGGCTACAAACTCTAACAAACATCCATCCATCCATCCATCTATCCAAACTTTCGCATTTATAATATTAGTAAGATTACTGTATTACTTGAATGCCATCGGTTTGTATTAGTTCGTTTTTTTCTATTTGTCTATGATTTTCTATAAACTAGATTAAGTGCAATCTACAGTTCGATAATAGATTGTCAAATTGAAGGTACATTATCGTCACTAGTAAATGTTAGGCAATATACTAAGGAAATGCTTACCATCGTCGACAATTCCTCCAGCAGCCTCCTTAGCATTCTGCTCCAAAGACTTGAGAATCTCTTCAGGAATAGGAGGTGGTGTTGGCAGATGATCTCCACTAGGTTGATATCCACCTTCTCCGGCAGTATACGTCACCTTGTACACTTTACCGTCATCACCAGTGTACGAATAACCGCCTTCTGCTTGTATACCATTAACAGCAACGCCATTCTCCTCAGCCGTTATACCGTTATCAGTTTCAAAAGCGTAGTTATAAGCTTGAGGACCCACGTTATTTTCAAAGCGAACTATATTTGAAGCTTTATCAAATTCAGCTTGTGGTCGTGCTGTATTAAAACCGAAATTAACTCCTTGTTGGAAATTCTGCAGAGTTTGTGATTCTATCTGATCAGTATGAGTCTGGATCTGAGGAATGAATCCTTGTTGATTAGTTTTAAAAGCTGCACCTCCTACTTTAGAGTGACTTGATCCATAGGATATTCTATCACCTCCTAGGCCTGATTCACCAGGACTAGATGCTCTTGTGCCTGGGGCGGCAGCTTCTACGACCACTCCATCATAATCATTGTCAAATGCACCTTTTGGTAAACCAGATTGTCCAGGGTTGAAGAGATCTCTGACAAGAGGAGTTTGAATGTCCCCAGGGCTGCCACCGGCTGTTTTAGCGGATTCCGGTGGAAGATACGTGCGGTCCAGTTTCGCTGCACTGCATACCGCTACGAAAGCGGCTAATAACACCTGGAAATTAAAAAAATGAATAATATCAATCAATTGTTAAATATTGAACTAGAAATATTTTTATGAGCTTTGAATTTTGAAATAGACTGTGAGGGCAAATTAGACTTTGAAGTGACTGAGTATTATCTAATTTCTGTAACAAACATTAAGAAAGCCGTTGGATCACATTACATAATACTTTTCAAAGAACACTGATAGTCAAGATTAATCACTATTTCCGCTTTAAGATGAATAGAGTTACCAAATTCATTGTATCCGTGTAGACCACTTGCCCGGATGGTTCTACAATGTGGGGTCAACCCGTACTGTGCTGTTGTGAACCAACTTTTGCTTTTTATACCAACTCTAAAGTCGTCTAAAAAACGTGCTCAGCTTTTTTCACAATCTTATCGGTGCGGTTGAACAACTTTTTTATTCAACGCCGGTGTTCTTCCGACCAGTGCGTAAGGTAAACTTTAGCTCATTCGTTTGTTTTTCCAACCGCAAAGGTAAATTTGTCGAGATGAACGCATGGATTCCAAGTTCAAGTGGCAACGAATATGCGATTTATAAATATTTTAATTGGAAAAGAATTAGTTACTGTAATCAGCTCATATTATCGTGAGGTTAAAGTGTGAACTGTACAAATTAATTAATAAAAATAGTATACATTTAGCTTTGCAGTTCCTTAGTTTCTATGTGTTGGTAACATAAGAATTCCTTTTTGTATAAGTACATTGTGTTTGTTATTACAATGTATTTTTCAGTGTTTCGGACATTAGCAAGAATGCGTTGGTAGTAAATTCCTTATGTTCAGTTTGTTAACCTTATTACAGACAGCGCGGCAGCCGAAAATAAAAAACAAAACTTTTATTCACCAAATCAACTAAAACATCTTTATTTAAAACTTATTTACATATCTTTACTAATATTATAAAGCGTAAACACACACTACTTTGTTGCCTAAGATGCCAGCAGTTACAGCATATTTTTGAATAATTCTTTTTTTAATAAAAATCCTTACACTTACGTCACGCTTTTGGCTATATATTTTCACGCCATTAAACTTAAGAGATAAATATTTTGGTTAAAAACCCTAATGTGGGAAAGAGATCATAAGTTGCTGCGAACATTAAGGAACCAATTTATTTGTTAAGGTTTGTCATGTCATTTTATATTTGCTAAGATAATTTGAGAAATGTAAACAATAAAATAAAATTTTCATAATTTCATGCGGATGAAGCCGCACAGGAACAGCTAGTTTACAATAATTGCAAAACTATACCGCGATCACATCTTTTCTCTTGTGTTTCTTTTTCTTCTATTGTTTTTATATCTTTCTAATAAAACACCATTCAAATGTCTAGGTGGCCAGTATGCAACCTCTTTGGCTGTACTCGTATTCATACTGCTTGTCAGTCAAAGAGGTTGTATTTTGCACTGAACACATGTATGACTGCGAATACACTAAATCTTGTGTCTCAATTAGTAGTAATAATGAATACTAATGTAATAAAGAGGAAAGCTTTTATTGTTTGTTGGTTTGTGTGCATTCAAGAGGGTCTGAAATAAAACTGAAAAATATATATTCTAAGTAATTGAATCGTATTGTATAATTTCTGACATCAATTCAGCATAGACATAACACGAAAATACGGCAGAAAGTGTTCGTAATATCAAGAACAAGTATTAGATTTATGCAGCGTTATCCAGCATAAAATACACCGACAAATCTCATACTTTATCGATGAACGTTACAAATACATTCTTGTTAATTTTCGTGCTATGTTCTCATTTGATACTTTTGCGTGTAAATGTCGTCAAAACTCATTTGAATTTACAGTTTATAATTAAATTGTATTCCGTCATCAATAAACAAAGGTTTCTAGAACATCGGTTAATTATAACGCTCTTTACAATTATGTTAATAAGTTATCTTACAAGTCATCATGTTATAGACTTACAAACATATCAGACCCGGTAGGAGATAATCATACTTCATACATACATAAAGTTTAGCTGAATGGATTGATGTTTGTTAGTGTTTGTAGCCTAAACGGCTGAACGGATCTCGACGGAATTTGACATAGATGTAAAACATAGCCTGGAAGAACACATAGGCTACTAACGTTTGGTTTTTTTTATTCCACGCGGACGGAGTCGCGGGGAAAAGCGAATAAACTATAAAATGTTCACAGAAAACATGAATTCACAGTCAAAATATCTAGAGACTAGCTGTTCCCATGCGGTTTCATCCGCATGTAATTATGAAAATGTTATTTTATTGTTTACATTTGTCAAATTATCAATGACACATGACAAACCTTGGCAATCTTGCTTCCTCGATGTTGGCAGCAAGTTATGGTCTCTTTCTCACATTAGGGTTTTTATCCAAAATATTTACCCCCTAAGTTTAATGGCGTGAAAATATATAGCCGAAAGCATGACGTAAGTGTAGGGCTTTTTATTAAAAAAGTATTATTCAAAAATATGCTGTAATTGCTGACATCTTAGGCAACAAAAAAGTGTGTGTTTACGCTTTATTACAATAGTATAGATTATCAAGGATTAAAGTTTATTTCGCGTATGTTCATGTTTTAGCATTAGAATTACAGGCATTTCGTGACAAATTCATACTAACCAAGACTATAAAATTATGTAAATGTAGAACGTTCTTGTATTCATTAACATAGAACATAAAATGATTGGGTTTTACCTTCTAGGAGCTAAAAACAAAAGACTAACTAAATTTTTTTCCTTAAGATTTTTAAAAACTATAAAATATATCATAGAAAAGTCTACATTTGACTAAGTTAGATATACCAAAGGGCGATAGGCTTTCATACTTAACCAAATTAAGAACACAAATTTTTGCATTCGAAAAAAGTGATAAGCCAGGTCCGTGTTAAAAACCGTAATCTCTGTCTTCCTTTATTCATTATTCTACCTTACATCCGCGACTCCGTTCATGTGAAATTAAAAAAAAAAACAAAAGTGAGTAGCCTATATGTTCTTCCAGACTATGCTCTACATCTATGCCAAATTTCATCCAGAACCGTTCAGCCGTTTAGGCTACAAACTAACAAACATCCATCCATCTAAACTACGGCATTTATATTATTAGTAAAGTGTTAATGTTAATAATTGTATTTATTATCCAAAAATACACTATAATTTATAAACTACGAGTATTGTATACGGAAACAACATTCTTTAAAAGTGTTTATGTAATGAAATTGTAATGAAGACATTTACATTTATGAATATAAACATATAGGCTATACTTAAGCGTATTTAAGTTAAATAAGGCATAAGCGTAATCGTAGTGACTCCGTGCTGCATGATTTATTTACAAATCATCCGTCCCTTTTACTGTCGGTTGCATCAGAGCGTCGGGTTTTCAGTTAACTGTTATTTACGTCAATCATAGATCTGGTAACGAGAGCTTCAATCTTTTTGGCAGCTGAACTTGAGCTGCGCGATACGCAGTGCCCTCCTCCCGAAGCCTTCTACGCCCCGTTAAGCCCGCTACACACGCTTAGTTTGATGTGTGTAGGCAAAACTGAGAACTAAACTGTTCCCAGTGTTGTTAGCTTTATCTGAACGATTGAATCATAAAATTGAGCACGTGTAGCGGGCTTTATACCTAAAATTGTGTTCTGGACATTTCAGCCGTGCATCCGAGGCGCGAAGATGTTTGAAATAAATTACTTCAGTCCCTGTGGGCCAAAAAACTAACACCCTTTTGTATTGAATATTTACATTAATTACTGTTAACAGAGATAATTAACTGTAGAATTTAAAATACAAAGTACGAGTAATTTTACATGTTAATACCAAGGTATTATAGCGTTATCCCACACGCAATGCGGATTGACAGATATTGACAGTTTTTTTTTTACCACTAAACGGATTTCCTCGACTCGTTGTCCTTCAGTATTGCATTTCTTTAATATATCTGAGTCGTTTCGATGGACGAGAGATGTATAAACATAGTAAAGACCTCAATCTATTACTTCATTGTCTAAACAATATACAAGTAACTATTTGTACTAGATACATAATTGACATGTTAGTATTACGGCAAAATGCAAAGCGAATTTAATTAATATTCCAACATGATTTAGTATTGCCGCGTGCATCTCGTTTATAACGTCGGTTTCATCATCGCTGAGTCAACTGTCAGCACAAATATCTGGCTAACTTAATTCACGAGAATATGTTTATTAATGAAACTAGTTAAAACCCGCGATTCCGTCCGTGTAGAATTTAAATAACAAAAGTAAGTAGTCAAAATATTCTTACAGAGTAGCCTCTATATCTCTGTCAAATTTCATCAAAATCCGTTCAGCAGATAAGCATACAAACTCATACGAACATCCATCTAAACTTTGGCATTTGTAATATTAGTAAGATTGTGATGGTTAAATTGGTTGGTAATTTGAAAATAAAAATAAGTAATTTATACGTTAGGCTAAACTGATAGCTTCAAAGGTAGGGAAAGACGAAATTATGAATTATATGAGTAAGAAGGGAGGGCATTCAGATCTAATGGTTGATAGAGGTATGTGGAAGAGGAGAAGTGGAAGATCTTCCTTGAAGAAACGTGCAGGTAAGTAATAACATAAATCAAGTAAAAATCAAACAAAAAAATGGGACCCACCTGCAAGCATTACCTTTCGGATAAAAAAAGAATTATCAAAATCGGTCCACTAGCGGCGGAGTTATGCCGTAACACACATAAAACAAAAAAAAACATACAGACGAATTGAGTACCTACTTCTTTTGAGAAGTCGGTCAAAAACATAAGTAGGGTTTGAAATTCACATATAAGTAACTATGTATATAGTTAGTAAGATACTTATTGGGTAATAGGTAAAGTACCTTCACATATATAAAATAATAGTAATTACTATGTATAACTATTAGTTTAAATGTCAAACTTTAATTATTAATAACATATAATTAACCGTATTCTATTATTGTTATGGAACATTTTAACTATTGTTAAAGATTACAATAACATTTGTAATCATTAACAGAAACCATTTGTTTTAATATTTTGAAACAAGAAGTTAATTACTAAACGCATAACTATAATAGTCGTCAAATATCTTGGCAGCTCTTTGCTTCGCGTGAGTCGCTGTGCAGAACACAATTTTAGGTGAATGCCGTAGCTGGATGAAGTGTGAGCGATGACCTTGAGCCGCTAAGATATTTGTAAAGAACTATACTTTACATTAAGTTAACTACAATGTTATATTAATGTGAACTAATCATATTTACTTAGAAGATAAGTTTTATGGGTTTTAAGGCTGCATTTTAATGAA